ATCATATGCTGCATTTTATTCATTAATTTTATGAGCTTCGGTTAAGATAACCCAAACTAGTTTGGTGGTCCTACTTTTATATTATTATATTATAATTAAATCCTAGATCAAATTTAAATTTAGGGCGACTATATGTCTAAGTTTATAAACTGGAGTACCGGAGGAACAAAGGTCATCTTAGAGTGATCTTACAACCGGAGGAACAAAGGTCATCTTAGAGTGATCTTACAATAAGCCGTGAAGTTTATAGTATTTTTGTAGATTAACCTTTTTTTTTTTTTTTTTGAGGATTTTAAAGTTTTAATTTTTGTTATAGTTTAAATATAGTGGGATGGTTAGATAATGAAAATGATAATTTTAAGATTCTTTTCTCTTCTAGCGATTTGAAATCTCACTTTTTTTGTAGAATCTTAAATAAGTAAAACATGAACGGAGTTAGATGAGACTTTTTTTAATCAACTGCGGACAATGAAAATTGGATTAGGTGTTCTTGCACTTTGATCCCACCTCTCCTTTTTGATCTATCTTTATTGAACTCTTTCTTTTTCTCTTCATTTTTGAGTTGAGGAACAAAATTCACAATTCGAATCTTCTAGCTAACATATTTTGGCCCACAATTATATATATATATATATAATATATATATATATATATATATATATATATATATATTATAATTTTTTACTAACTGTTCAATTTGATTTATATATATTATAATTTTTACAACTTTCAATTGAATTTATATGATTTTTGCTAATATTTATTGCATTTAAAATATATGATACAAAATTTTCAAAAATATTAGTTGTGATAATAGTCAAATTACAAGGTAGATTAAAGAATTTTGTGAACTCTTTAAATTTTTTTTAATAAAGTCCAGAACTTAACACTTGAATAATATAACTAGTATCAAATCTCTTGTATAAGAGTGGTTGCAAACTTAATGATTGGTTGATTGTTATTTTCAAAAGTCAAATCATATGACAATAAGCTAATAACCGAAGGATACCTTGCATTGGTAGCGTGCCATTGAATCTATTATGACTTAGATCCAATACTTCCAAGTTTTGCCATTTAGTTAGCTCTAAAACATGCAATGGGGAAATAAATTAAAATTTTAGTAAAAGAGAAAAAAATTATTGTGAACAAAAATAATGAAAATTAAAAATGAAAGCATACCTTGAAAAGGGAAGGAACCTTCCATTTGATTAGAACTTAGATTCAAAGTCTTAATAGATGTCATAGGAGTTACCCATGATAATATGCTTCTGTTAAACCAATTATAGTTAAGGTCTAAAACCTTTAATTTCTTCAAATTTGATAATCTTTCCAAACCTGCAATTGTAATTTTTGAGTTATTAGCCTAACAATGTAATAAAATCAATGAATAATAATTTAAAATATAAATATTTAATTAGGGTGTTGGAATTCAATATCTAACCTAACAATTCAAAAACTTTAATATTATTCAACAAAATGCTTTGTTTTTATTTTTAAAGTTAATTTGGCATGGTTATTGTTAATAGTAGCTTCTATATAAAACATGCCTTACATGTTGTTTATAGTTCCATATTGTTATACAAACTCTATGATTCAATTTTATTATACAAATTTTTTTTATTTATTTATAGGATTGTAATTGAGTTTGCATATTAGTCCATTATTACCAAAATAAATATAAATCCTTAGAATTTCTTATTGGATTAAAATAGATTTCAAATATATTATTGAACAAGATGGAAAATCCAATATATTTATTTTGATTCCTCTTACTAACAATATAAAGTATTATATGACAATTTATTTAGCAACATATAATATGCGATAATAAAATAATTAGAAAAGGAAAAAAAGATATTTCTTCATATGGTTGAATGTTTTGAAGTTATATGCTAAAATCTTCTTTGGCAATTGACCTTTCATACTCTTTGACAATAGTAAATTAAGTGAGGTTCAATTACAACCTCTCATGAATGTTAGGAGAAAAAAAAGAAACTTTGATTGCTCCAAAAGTTCTAATATTTTAAATATCCCATTATATCATTAAACATGGAAGCTAGAATTTGAATTTCCCTATAAAAAATAATTGAATGTAATACCAATAAAATAATTAGAAATATATTATTTACCTGACAATCAATTACTTTTTTTTTTTTTTCAGATTTCAATAGTTTTTCTTACGTAAGCTTCTACAGAGTTAATTTTAGAAACTAAGAATCTAATACTCCATTCTCTTTGGGACCTTAAGAGCATCTATAGAATCATCATGTCAAACATCTAGTTTATTAATTAAAATTTTATAATATAAATTTTATAAATTTTGCTTTTTAACGTGTAATAACCATAAATAATAATACAATTAGTTATTTTATAATATATGCCATCATAAAAATAATACAATTAGTTATTTTATAATATATGCCATCATAAATAATTACAATATAAATATTACTTAAATGTATAGTCTATAATATAAGAAGTTATTAAATAATATAGGATAGGAAACTAAAATATTGGTTCAATATTAATTTAGGAAGTTGAACTAAATTATATACTAAATTAATGTTGGTGTAAAATTCTATTTATTATTATATGTGTGAATTATATATTCAATCTATTTATTCTAAATTCTTGTACTAGAAATTTAACAATTAGTATAAAATCCTTAAATGTACATCCAATAGAATTTAGATTTAAATATAAAATTAATATAATAAATTAAATTAAAGTATCTTTATTTTTTCAACCAATAAAACTAAAATCTTTTGAAGATATTTTATCAATGCTTAAATATAGTATGAATATTTTTGACAATCTCAATATTGCACCTCCCAATTTTAACTTGTATATATGTTATAGATATGAAAAATTGGTGCATTTGAATCAATTTGAGTATGCTTTTTGTAACAATCTAATTAGTCAGTATTTATGTTTTTTTTTTTTTTAATCTTTTTCTCCAAACTCTCTCTTCCTCTCAAAACCTAAAACCTAAAAACTTTTTTTCTCTTTACACGGGCGGCCATTGGTGATCTCTCATCAGTGGTCACCCCTTTCCTTTTTTTTTTTTCCCCTTTCCTTTTTTTTTTTTTTTTCTTTTTACAAATAATCCTCAGATATGTATATAGATTTGAGTTATTATTGCCCAAATATTGAGATTTATTATTTGTCATATTTTGGGATTTTATTCTCAGTTCTAGTTTTGAGTTATTGTTGTCACCATTATGATGATATTTCTAGAGTCTTTGTTATTTGGATAGTTATGCAGAAAGAAGTACATATCTCATCTTCAATAGAGGAAAAAAATTGAAGGTAATCAGATCGGGCTTGTACAAAGACCATGAAATTGAACAGTGACCATGAATAGCCACCAAGTGTAGCAAACAATCGCCTATAGAACAAATATTATACTTTGTCAAGTCGATCCGATACTTCAAATGAAAATATATAAGTGGTTTATTATTAGACTACCTACAGAAAAATATAGAAACATATTGATTTATATCTCATATCTGAATACAGTTTTCTTTTAATGACATTTCTAGTATGATTTCTTCTAAAAAAAAATGTTTATGTTTTTAAGTATAGTTTTGAACATGTTAACTATAGAATTTTAATATAATCGAATTGTTTTGTTAACTATATTAATGTTATTAAAAATTTGTAAAAAATATCTTACTCTCTCTGTGCTATAATCCTTGTTGTACGTTCTTTTTTCATTTATCCCATATGGTTATCTTGTTTCTAGGAGTAAATAATAATATTTTTCAATAAATACATTAGTCAAACCACCACATTACCATTAATTAGATCTTCATACAAATAAAATTAAAATATTGATCTTTAGTTTTCTACTCATGCAATTGCCTTAATTATTTGGTAAATATATACCAAAAAGGAGATGTATTGAGTCCTCTCCTCCGTAATTAACTCTCTCATTCTTTCTCTAAAAACCTAAAGCCAGTCATCGTTTTCCACGGGCGGCCACTGGTGAGCTCTCACCGGTGGTCACCCCTTTCACTACAAAAAAAACGGCATTTTGCGACCGACCAATCGGTCGCAAAATGCCAAAAAATCGGTCGCTAAATCAATTAGAGACCGATTTGCGACTAGGACCGTTTTGCGACGATATTTGTCGGTTCGCAAAAATGCTGGTCGCAAATATTTTGCCCGACCGATTTTTTTTCGTGCGGTCCCGCAAATTAGCCGACCGATTAAATCGGTTGCAAATTGGTCGCAGAAGAATTCTGTCGGCAAGTCGGTCGCAAATCGGTCCGCAAATTGTAATTTAAAAATTTTTATTTTCGGTCTCTAATCGGTCCGCAAAAATTGAAAAAAATTAAAACAAAATAAATATTATTATAAACCATAATATTATTATAATTTATATTACAATTAAAAACTAATTAAATTGTTAACTAATTTAAATTGTTGATGAATTTTTTTAAAAAAAAATGTAAATATGCTTATATATTCATTGCATCATACAACAATACATCCAAAAACAAAATGCTAATATGTCAATAACAAAATGCAAATTTAAAAAGTTAACATGTACAAATAATATTTGCAATCCAAGTTGAAATAAAAGAAATTAATATTAATATTAATTGTAGTTGTAAAATTGTATCAAACTTGATACAACTTGAGATATTGCAGTGATCGGTCTTAAAATCCACAATGGTATATATATAAGAATGTTGGAATCTCTTAATTCTTTTGGGTCAGATTCAAGGATTATTAGACGCTCACATGCTGTAACAACAGAACCGATCTCCTTGTCAAATCAGTAAAACAAATTTCCCAAACAACAAAAACCTTAGATTACTGAATCTAAATATGCATAGAGCAAGAAAATAGATTCCGAGAAACCAGAAAGGTTACCAATCAATGCAACCTCTTTTAAGTATTTTCTCATTTATTACCATTCACTAGCATTTCCTCTCATTCATTCACTTTCCATTCACTTAGTAACTAGTATATTCTATTTGCCAACCAACAAATAAGAACTATCCAAGTCATTATTGCAATGAAAAAAGTACATTTTGGTTTCTCATGCGTGTGCAGAGACAACGATAGCATCATTAGGCTAAGACGTCTCAAATCACTAAAATCTAGTTAATCTAACTGTGCAGACCATTAAAATAGGAAACAGAAAATATAAATGTAACTTCATTTTATATATATACCAGCTAAAGCACGCCTCATGTCCCCAAAACGCACACTAGTCCAAACACCACGGTCTAACCTATGTTGGGCAGCCTTTGCTGATGCAAGTTGAAATCCATTGCAATAGGAAGAAAAGGTTGAAATGAACATGTGATTGGGATAAAAACATTAATAAAAGAAATTAATATAAACAGCTGAATCACAAAAAACTATATATAAAAACCAAACTAGTAATCCAGTAGCTCGAACAGCCAAATACTTATCCTGGATTTGATTATAGAGAAACAAATAAGCTGAAGCATATATTACCCTCCTTATGTAAAGGTAATGCATTTGGACTCCATAGTTCTAAATATACAGATATGTATTTCTCTTTAAATGCTTTCTTGTTTCCTTTAGGGTAAAGAGAAAGTCTCCAGCATCAAAACATGTAGGTGAAAAACAACAGCAATTAAAAAATTAAATACTCAATTTGTCTCCAACAATAAAACTGTGAGATTAGAAGTTTGAATTGCAGTTTGAGACCCAATCGCCCAAAAGCAATAAATAAATAAATGAATGCCCCAATTAATCATAAATAAATAAATAAATTTGAAAAACTAAAAATTGAAAGGAATGGAACTAAAATTAGAACCCACCATATGTATCCACCAACTTCAAAAACACTTGGTTGATAAAAACACTTGGTTGATAGTTTTCTACATTTGCATTAGCAAGTTGGGAGAAATTTCCGATCTTCAACAGGTAATGAGCTGGTGGAAGGTCCCTTAATTATCTTGCTATTTCTGTTGATAGCATCAAAAGTCCAAACTCATAAACAAACTAACTTCTATATATGAAATTAGACTTTCATTTCTTTATCATTTCAAGGATTTCCCCCTTCTTTCTCATCTATGTCAGGCAACTCTTTTTGCGAGAAAGAATCCATACCTGTTTCTTCATCTTTGATAGTGAGTTCACTGATTGCTTCTTCCATAACAGATTTTACTTCTTCTTTGGTAGTGAGTTCAGCTATCGCTTCTTCCATGACTTCTCGTAATACCATTTTTCACTTTACTCTTCTTGTTCGTTTTCCTTATTCTTTTTCTTTATCTTATATACAGAAATACAGAAGTAGAAACGTAGTTGAGAAGCAAACAACTGAAAGGACGTATATTTCCATTATTTTTTTCATTATAATAAAGCCACAATCATCTAAAACAAAGAATAAAAAAGAACAATTGTAAATTGTTAGTTTGTTTGTCCTTTGCTATAATTAAGAATAATGTCCAAACAAATAGTATAACAACAATAAAATCTACATATCGTATAAATCTACATATCTATTAACTTTCACCATATTTGAAAAGCCCAAAATACAAAAGCCATATAAACATCAAAAAATTGAAATTTTCTTTTACTTACCCACCAGATTTCTGGGCAGACAAGTAGAAAACAATGCTGGCAAATAAGAAAAAACCCACAATAATAATAAATAATAATAATTAATAAATAATAATAAACCAGTAACAATATTATATTTTAATAATAATAATTAATTAATAACAGTACCTAATTTCTAATCGCAAAATACACACAAAACTTACAAAAAATTATTTAATAAAACACATAACAATCGGCAAAAAAAAAAAAAATCAAAAAAAAATCGCAAAACTTACCATTTCAATTGTGTCCAAATTAGCAATTGGAGTGACCCGGAGTTGCAATGGAGCGGAGATGGGGCGACGTCGGCGGGCTGGGCCGGGTCGGAAGGAACTGGAGCGGCGTTGGAATGGAGGAGAGGAGAAGGAGGAGGAGGAGAAAGAAAGAAAGAAGAAGAAAAGGAAGAAGGAGGGGCGCTCTGGTTGTTTAAAGCAGCCCTAAATATTTGTTTCATTAATATCGCGTCGCAATTTTTAACTCTGCGACGTCGTCTTTACTTCGCAATAAAATTGCGACGATTTGCGACTCAAATTTGTCAGGTCGCAAATGAAATCGGTCGCAATAATCAGTCGCAACGCATTCGCCAAGAACCTCTATTTCCTAATTTTGAAGCGCGCAATTTTGCGACGGGAATAAAATGTAGTCGCAAACGATCGCAAAATCGGGTCGCAAATCCGTAGTACATTAGTTCGCAAACTGAAAAACAAACTCGCCATGAAAAACAAACTCGCGGGAATTTTTAGCGCTACAATTAGCGACTGTTTGTCCATAGGTCGCAAATCGGTCGCAAAATTGCGACTGATTTGAGTCAGTCGCAAAAATCGGTCGCAAATCGGCGATTTTTTTGTAGTGTTTCTTTTTTTTTTTTTGTGTTTGATTTTTTACAAATAATCCTCAGAACTGAGTTATTGTCGCATATATATTGCAATTTATTGTTGCCAATATATTAGGATTTTGTCCTCAGATCTAGTTCCGAGTTATTGTTATCACCATTATGGTGATTTTGTCTAGCGTCTTTTGTTATTTGGATAGTTATATAGAGAAAAGTGTAGATCTCCTCTCCAATAGAAGGAATAAATTTTAAGGTAATCAGATTGAACTTGTAGAAAGACCATAGAGTCGAACAGTGGCCATGAATAGCCACCAAATCGAGCAAGTGATCTCCTATGGCACAAATATTATACTCGGCCAACTCGATTAGATACTTCAAATCAAGATTGTGTTTTTTTTTATTCTTTTTATAATTGATTTATTATTAGGCTTCCTATACAAAAATATAGAAATATATTGATTTGTATCTCACATCTGTATACAATTTCCAATTAATGAAATTCTAGTTTGATTTTTCTCAAAAATTAATATAAGGGTATACTAGGGAAAGTAAAAAGTTTAGTGTAATTATATTAACTAAATTTTATTAATCATATCTAGAAAAATATTATAGGACCAGAGAATATATATGTGTATATATATAATATGTGTATATATATATATATATATAATATCATATAGGGAATTTTGATTTTCCATGATATATATAGGAATTTGATTTTCCATGGACATGAAAATAGATTGACTTAGAAATATAAAACTTCCATGTTAACCAAATATGAGAATTTCACATTTTCATATCATTTTTTATTTATGAGATGTTGGCAACTAAATGCCCTTAAAGAATCCAATAGTAAAACTACAGATAACAAGACATATTAAATAAAAGTATATTAGAGAATTAACAAAATAATATGCTTTTATAAAAGAAAGTGATATATATAACTTGAGACAGATTAAAAAGGAAAGTAAATTTATAATATAGGAATATTATATCTAATGATTATGGTTTTATTTTTGAGGTCAAATAACCATAAAAGTGAATTAATGTCATCCACAAAAACTAGTGAGTGGTACCATGTTATTATTTCCTTCATTTCATTAAAAAATTACTCAATGCTTTCTTAATTTTCTAAAATGTCAAATGAAATTTAATAAAAAAATTAAAATTTTATCAATTTTAATTGCATGCAGGTACTATTAAAAAAGATATAGGCATTATTAGAAGTATGAACTGAATCCTTGAAGGTAAAAAAAAAGAAAAAAAAAAAAAAAAAAAAAAAAAAAAAAAAAAAACATTCCTTTGCAAAATTGCAAATAAATGTTCAAAAATTTTCTTGTAAAAAACCTACCTTATTAAAAAAAAAAAAAAAAAAAAAAAAAAAAAAAAAACATTCCTTGCAAAATTGCAAATAAATGTTTCAAAATTTTCTTGTAAAAAACCTACCTTATTTTGGTTATATTCATATGCTAAGTTAAAAAACGACGAAGGAAATATAAAAAATTATATATATTTATTTCCTCCAATAGCGCTAACTTAACATTTAACATTCCAAGTTGCAATTAATAGCTCTTTAATTTCATGTATGAGAAAAGAAAAAATTATAACTTATAGATATGGAGAATTAAGGTAAAGGACTAGGATACCTTCTTTGTCAACAAAACCACCGAAATTATTCAAGGATAAGTGGAGACTTCTAAGCTCCTTAAAATGCTGGAAACTGGACACTTTTAGATCATAAATGTTTTGATCCAAATTGTATTCTGTTTCATTGTAGTTCCATATATTGTCGAGAGAGAGATGGATGACATGAGCTACAGTAGAATTGCAAGAGACTCTCTCCCATTCACAACAGTTATTTTCTGGTTCATCATTCCATGAAAGGAGAATTGGAAACTTGGAACCATACTCATCGGATTCAAGAGACGCTTTGAATTGTAAGAGAGCTAGTCTCTCCTCTTCAAAGCAACCATTATTTCCTTGGATTTGAACCCAAAGGATCAAACATATCAGTAACCACTTCAACTCCATTTCCTTATGTTCTTATGATGTTATTTTCGTTAAAACCTCTCAAGCTTATTTATAGTGAATATATTATGTATTGTGAGGTCCAAAATGAGTATACTTAACAATATTCTAATTTTTGGATGTTGGGAACACTAAACTATTGATTTTATTTTTGTTATTGTGACGTAATGGAGTGGCCAATGGGACAATTTTATTTCATAAATTCCTCAATTGACCAACAAGTCAACTTTGCATGAATGAGTAGACACGCTAATTTCTCTAATGAGTGTATTGCAGCCAATAATGACTTTGATATGGAAATTAATATCGTAGCTAGGGCTATGAATATAACTATGTAATATAAGTGAGATCCACATTGCTAGGTAATATAAGTGAGATCTACATTGCTAGACTAATGGGTGGCTGGCTTGAACATAATAGAGCTACCTTATCTTTATGAATTATGACTATGGACCTATTGGGAAAAATTCGCTGTTGTGATAGTTGTAAATTGTTTTAGTAGCCAATAGGTATTAGAGTAGCTTTTTATAAAAAGCTTAAAACTAAATGTTACAGAGGTTAACCTTTTATAAAATGCTACCTTAATCTGTAAAAGTTAATTCGAACATTATGTTGCTGAATACTATAAAATAATAGCATGTAGCATTTTGATCTGTTAAAACGCTAAAACTTATATAAAAAGTTGTTGCCAAACACACCTATATGTAACCAGTCGCGTTGAAAATGTCTTAGCATGCATGATAACTATGATTTGAGTACACTTGAAATGACTTGTAATTTTATTTTTAAAATTTTTGAATTTTATTTAAATTAAAAATCCAAATTTTCAGTTACATGGGCTTCGAGTCTTGAACAATTAAACTCTAAGCCCAAATTCAAAGAATGGGGCTCAAGCCCAAAAGAAATCAAGATTTAAAGGCTACTAGGGATTTTGACTTCATTTAATTCTATCCAATTTATTTTATTAGTTCATTAATCAATTTTAGTTGTTTAAGTAGGGGAAACAACCCTAAAATCACTAACAAGCTCTCCTGATGTATTGTCAAGCTCTCCTGATTGTATTGTTAAGGCTATTAACCCGATCTAATTTATCTATTCTTCCCAATTAGTCAAATCAAACATGAATTAAATCATTAAGTTTCATTGGTTTGTTTCATTGAAATTCATAACTAAGGTCCATTAACTTATGAAAACCCCCATGCAGTCAAACCATATAGCTTCCGCCATCAAGTTATTATTCTCATGTAATTATTACCTTTTTTCATTATCAAAGAAAAACCCTTCTTCCTGATAGTGATTAATGAAATAAATCAATTCCAGCAATAGAAACTCTACCTGGGAAGCATTAAGTTTAGTAATAAATTATTTACTTTGAACAAGAAAAACAAAATCTAATATTATAAATGGAAAAGAAATTAAGCTACATCAAATCCACTTAATATGAGAGTTTAGTTCGAGCATAGTAATTAAATAAAACTCAATATAGTTGACAAAAATTCCATAATCAATCAGGGAATAATGAAAGAATAAAACCAGATTAACATTTAGAGATAAAATTATCTCAACAATTAATTTCTGGACGCTTCCTTGAATTTTTGGCACACAAATCTTGAACCACTTGAAAGTCTTGGAAAGAGGAGAGAATAATGGAACAAAAATTATCAAACTGGAAGATGTCTTTACAATGAAATGGGTTTCTCTTCTTTATTATAGAACTTCCTGGGAAGAAAATCCGGCTTCGTTTAGGGTTTAGGAAATAAAGTCCTCATTAAGTAAGAAATCTTTTTGGAAATAGGAAACTGTTTAGGTTTTGGATTTCTTCTCAATTAGGACTCTTCTATCTGCCTAAATAGGATTAGAACTTGATTTGTATGTTAGGAAAGTATCTTAGGTGGGCCCATGTAAGTGATAGGGACTGGCTGGCGTTCTCGACTCAAAACAACACTTGATTCGCAGCACGGGCGTGCTATATGGCACGGTCAGGGCGTGCCGGAGCCTGAGTTCTAAGGATGGTTCAGCACG